TACTTTGGCCTCAGCATCTAGCCCCTCCCCCAAATTCTTATTGCTAATACTGCCTGTTTGATGGTAAACCTTTATAAAATTAAAATAGAAAGGAAAATACATTAAACATGTCAGCCTTCTATGCACTATTCATTATTAGCTGCTTCTTTACATTCAGTAAGGCACTTATTCTCCTTGGTTTTCTTCTTTATTCTAATATATTTATAGAATTATTTGTTGCCTTGTTCTTTGTGAGCTGTATCCCAGTTAGGACCTGGCCTGTCTATTTTTTTTTTTGTATTCTTAGTCGTACGGCCAAATTCCCTTTTATTTTACAAGATTCCTTTTTTTTCCAGTTTCATTAACTGGAGATTTTCTGGTTGGCAAATCGGGTATCTGCATATACTTTCTAGCGTTTCTTTGTATTGGAATAATATGATCCGATGTCCTAATATAGCTTCTTTATAAAGAACAACCGATTTTTCTTAGATTCCTTTTTCCCCTTAGATCCCCTCATGGGATCCTGCCCACCAGTTCTTTGCACTTGTTTAGTCTTTTTCTAAAGGTCAGTATGCATTATTTTGCTTCCCTCCTTTCTTGTTTTAGGATTCTGAACTGTTAATTTAACTGAACTGTTTCAGTTAGTATCCTATAGGAAACTTGTCTGTATAAAAGACAAACCTACTAAGCCTTTTGCACTTTATCTTGGCAAAAAAAACAATTATTAAGTATTTATAGTTTGAACTTGCCTTCCACAGAAGGAGTTGGTCTCTCCAGATCAAAATATTGAGGTACTAGCCAGGTGCCTTGAGTACCTTGAAACTCGTACTTGATCTGTAATTGCCAACACTTATTAATTTTGACAAGCTTTAAAATACTTTTCTGTTAAAGTTGGGGGACAGCAAAGCACTAAACTTCAATATTGGAGACACATCCATAATCCCAAGAAGCATCGCTGGAGCATTCCTTTACATATCTATAATTGCAGCACATGTAGATGCAAGCAATGTAGCTTTAATCCAGCTATTTTAGATGATAATAGAGAAGAAATACTTTGATATTTTGAGCTTAGGGAGATTATATATTTTAATAGACTGAAACTTTGGAGTCCATGCTTTGTTATATGAAATATTGAAGAACTTGATTTATCTTAAAAGCACCAGTGCCAAGTCACTCAATCATCCACTGCTGCTCTTGGCTGCACATCAGCAACCCTCCAAAATATTATTTCCATGAATTTCCATTCTGACTCCTCCCAAATTGGAGCGGTACCTGTTGTCTTCACAGTGGGATTCTTTGATCTGGAAATTTAATCATGCTGAAAATGAAAACTTAAAAAATATTAGACCTTATACAAAATACCCAGATGTGGATTTTGGTTTTTTTTCTCCCATTAGGAAACCCGTAGTGTATATCAGTTTCACTATGTGAACTGGCCTGACCATGATGTTCCTTCATCTTTTGATTCTATCCTGGACATGATCAGCTTAATGAGAGAGTACCAGGAGCATGAAGATGTACCCATCTGTATACACTGCAGGTACCAGTATATTTATTTAAACTATTAAAAGCTGTGTATTTGGTTTAAAAAAGTAATGTTTTGATTAAATCTAAAAAGCTAATTGTTAAAAAGAATCTATAGGATCTATGTTATCAGGTAAGGCATATACTTCAATGTATGGCCAGGGCCACTTATACCCCCATAATCGTAAAATGGCAGTCCATGCCTTTCTTTTCTCTGCTTCAAGTGAAGAATAAGGTAGTGAGGAAGCAATTTTTAAGTAGAGCTCAGTTGGGGAAGCAATTTTCCTGTTTTGCAAGAATTTCCAAGATTTCAAAATTAAAAAAAAACATTATTGCATATTGGGTTGAAACAGACCTTTTGAAGTTACTAATGAAAAACCAGGTAAAATAGCCAGCCTGGTGACTTTGGCTCTCACTTTGCATGTGGTGAAATGGGTATGTGGTTCAAGTACTTCTGTTTCATTTTAAGGGCCAGGTCCCTGTTGTTTTAAATAGGCATTTGATGCATGCAGCTGGGAATGTGATGGGGGGGCCTGCATATGCATCTGGGAATTGGTGGTCCAGTCCTCACATGATGTGTGGCATGGCAGGACACAATTGTTGGGATTAGGCATACATTTTTTCATTATCCCAGTCACACAGCTATATTAACATGACAGCGGCCTTAGTTTTGACCAAAAAATCCATCTCAACCTGTGGAGCCTTCCTGTTAAATTTTGCTGCAAATATTACATTCCCAGAATAAGTTTAAGTTTTGATAAATCAGTGTTTTCTGACTTGAAAAATCCTGGCTGCTTTTGTTTGATAAAATAGACTTCCCTAGGGACAGGAGGCTTGGAGGCTCAGTAAGCTCTATCATATCTAACTCCAGAGAAGAGGGAGTTGATCATCTTAGTTTTATTTCTGGTATGCTCAACGAGACAAAATCTATTTCTGTATGAAGGAAGATACAAGTGTTAAAATGTATTATGTGCCAGTTTGTTATATCAATCAGTGTTTCTGTGCAAATAAAGTATGCTTATTGGACTTCTGGCAGACTATCATTGCAGTTTTTGATATTACAAGCTTGTGGTTCCAAAGCAAAAATAAACTAATTTTATTAGATAAAGATAAAGAGTGATGCACAGCTTTAATTTGACACGGATTCTGTCAAAATATCAAACTTTGTTTTTTACTGAAATGAGTATTAAAATTACTATGTTTTCTTGCATACATCATACCTCTTCCCCTCAAAAAAAGAAAAAAAGCTGTTGGAAGTTAGAATATGCATTATATGCAATAAATATGGTATGAGCAGATTCTGCTTAGTGACTGAAACAAAGTAAAATCTTCGTGGGCTCAGAGAGCAAAAAAATGAGCCGTCTTGGCTCCTTGGCAGTTACTTACTATAAAGAAGGATCATTTTGTATGTAACATACCAGAAAATATGGTATATGAGAGCGCGCGCGAGTGTGTGTGTGGGGAGGGGGTGAGGGTTGGGGGTGTGTGGAGATGGGGTGGGGGGTTGTTTTTTAACCTCCAGTTTTAGTCTTTTCGTCTCTTTTAGTGTCCACCAATTTTTTTCATGCAGATTAACTATTTTGGTTTTAAATGTTAAAAAAAAATCCAAAGAAGTCTGCACAGTTATGGAAAAATGACAATATATAATGTGGTTATATTAAGCATTCGTGGGCTATGAATATATAAAAGCATTACACATAAGAACAATTTGCATTGCTAAACCACTAATTCCTGAATTCTATATTCATGTAGATAGTGCATAAAAAGGTACATAATGTAAATGTCCCTCTTGGTTTATATATTAAACAAGACACTTTCCATTTTCAAACTCTAATGTGTATTTCTTTGTCAATGGAAAAATTAGCATACTTCAGAGAGAGGGCAGTTTTTTCTAGGTTGTTTTGCTTGGTCTTGGAACAATTACTTTTGAATCTGGGCATAATATTGAAGTGAAAGTTTATAATGTAGTTGTCATCTTTTTTTTTTTTCCTTAAAGACACATCCTGATGCAGCACTGACTGCTTTGGTGGGGAGGAGAAAGGTGGCATAGTTTTTGATCCTAACACAACTTCCCAACAGTGTATGGAAGTTCCTCCCCCCACCTCCACTTCCACCCAACAAATGGAAGCCCTCCATTAGAGCAGACCAGTGCTTTAGGTGCTGTTGTGGAGGCTGTAAAAGTAGACTCACACAAGTTAAACAGATTTTGAGAACTCTAAAGGGTGCATTAAATATGTACCAGGGTATGATGCTATTGTAATTATATCATTATATCTGAGTGGCTGTTGAACTCTTACATTAGCAAAGAGGCTATTAAAACCTGCAGTAACTGAATCTCGTATCAGTAGTTATTACCTTCTAGAAGCATTTTTCTTGCTTTTGTTTTCTCTCAGATATAAATTTTAATCAGGTTTTTATAAGGTGGAAGAGCGAACTATGGATATAATTTAGATCATTTAAATGGAAATTGTCATTTTATAAGATCTACAATTTTAACAGGTAAATGCTTGAAATAACTTCTAGTTATGATCAGCATTAATACAAATATTTGAAATATTACACAGAATAAACTGAAGTGTTCAAACCTCTAATCTTTGTGAATGTGTACTGACACTAGGGTGATTCCGCTTTGAAAAACTGATGATTGAAAGAATAAATGGGTCTTAGTGTATTTAGTCCTAACCACTGATGTTAATGGCTTTTCAGTCCTGTTAATAGCAGAGAACAAAACTAATTCTGCTTTTGCATCTTTTCTGTATCTGTATGAACTCAGAAAATAGGGACATGTACAGGCACTAGGGACTAATTTACCTTACAGAAACTTTGATTAGTTTTGAAAGGTGTGCAGGAGTCCATATTCTCAGCTCGGTGTTTTCAGCTGGCAGTTCAACAGTATCTTTATTTAGAAAAAATAATTTTCTACAGATACCATATTCCAATAAACATGGAAGTTTATGACGTAATTTCTGGTAATGTAGTCAGAGTAGACCTACACAGTAAAGCAGTGGTGCTCAGCCTTTTGGCCCCATGGGCCAGATGAGTGGTACTTCCCCCCCCCGGCCGCTCTGTGTGCTGGGATTGGGCCCTGAGAGCCCAGAGCCACCCCCTTCCAGCCCCTGACACCAAAATTGGGGCCCTGTGGGCCTGATGCTGCCCCTGCATAGTCCTGTGTGCTGGAATTAGGCACTCAGTCCAGTGCACAGGGCCTGGGACTCCCACGGCTCTGGAAATCTGGCAGTGGAGGAGCAGCGGCACTGCTCCTTTGTCACCACATTTCCAGACCCAGGGCAGGAACCCCATGGGCTGGATGACACTGTGCCACAGGCCAGATATGAGTACCCCGTGGTCCAGATGAGTGGCATACCGCCAGTCCGTGTGTCGGATTGGACCTCCACATGCCAGGATCCAGCCCCATGTGGTTTTGGCTCACCCCCATGTGCTAGGTTTGGGGCCTTGCACCACTTCTGTCTGGCCCTGTGTGCCAGGATCAAGCCTTGCGCTGCCCCTGCCTACTCCTGCAAGCTGGGATTGGGTTCTGGTGTTCTGCGATTCCTCTGTCTGGCCCCACGTGTCCAGATCTGGGCCCTGCACTGCCTTTGCTTGGCTTCACATGCTGAGATTGGTCCGCACACTGCTTCTGCTCAGCCCCATGATGATGCAGCACTAAGGTCTGGATCTGACCTATGGGCCAGGGGTTGAGAACCCATGCCCTAATAGAGTTAATTAAACAATCACACTAAGACTGCATTTTTTTCATGACATAGATTAGTTTATAATGTTTGAACTTCAGACCAATTTCATATCAGTCTTTGTAGTTTATGGAATATGTAAGCCTTTCTTGTCAGGCATTATAAAAAGCATTTCCTTTTAATCATTAGAATTTCACTTATGGAATCTTTAAAATACTTGCCTTAAAATACTTCCGTTCTTGATCTTGAAAATCAATTGGATTATAATGTTGTTAAGAGTTGGTTTGGAAGTTGGGGGTGAAAGAGGTATTTCAGAAACCCACCCTCTGAAAATAGGTGAAAATGTCACTTAATTCTGTAAAATGTGAAATTTAGAACTGACAAATTATAGAAAAGACTAACTTGCACAACTGTTTATGTCCGTAGTGCTGGGTGTGGAAGAACAGGAGCCATCTGTGCCATAGATTATACGTGGAATTTGCTAAAAGCTGGGGTAAGGAGGACATATGGGAATATGACATATTATAGAACTGGGTCATTTTATATCGGTGCATTAAATTAAGCTTTCAAAATACATAGGAAAAACTGGCATCAAATGTTCAAATTGCAAAAGCACTGCAAAATTTTGCTATAGGTTACATAATCAATACACTTCAACATGCAGACAAAGACAAAACCCATCTCTGGTTTTGGTAGTATATATTTGTGAATATTGTTTTGAAGTACTGATTAATTAAAAACTGATCATTTAGGATTTTTTTTTTTGTAATTAATATACATGCTCATTCTTTAGCAGTTCCTTAGCAGAATTTTATTGGACCCCATACTTGAAATTTCAAAGTTCTGGTCTCTCCAGCTCTGCTTGGAGAATTCTAAGTTATAATTCAGAAATAAACATGCAGATGTTATCACACTTTTGGAAGTGTGGCAGACATTAAGTCCAAAAGTAAGATGGACACGATAAAAGCAATAAACTCAAATATTTTTATGTAGCGAACAGAGATGTTTTCAATATCTGTTCAGGAGGAACTGTTACTCTAAACAATTTTAAATAGGTCTGTTTACATGGAGGAAGCATGAAGGCCCACTGTACTGAAAACTTATATTTAGTTCATATCTCTTACATTTCTTTGCCAAGAGGTACCTAAATTGAGTTCTTATTTAGAAAAAAAATGTTAACTTGCATCTGTATTTCAGAAAATACCTGAAGAATTCAACGTATTTAATTTAATACAAGAAATGAGGACGCAAAGGCATTCTGCAGTGCAGACTAAGGTACACTTTTCTGTAGCATGGAATGTACTCCATGATTACGAAGGTTTTGTGCTGGTTTTAAAAGTCTTTGAAAATTAACCTCAGTCTTATATATACTATAGGAGCAGTATGAACTTGTTCATCGAGCTATAGCACAACTGTTTGAAAAGCAACTGCAAAAATATGAAAGTCATGCAGATTGGAAGATTGTTGATGGAGTGGTAAGAGCTTTTTTTTCCCTTCCGACATGCTGTTTTCAATTCATTATAGCATTTGCCTACACAATTAAGCCTGTGGTGCATTCAGTCCTTGATCTTGTTTGTCTCCAATATTTTTGGGTAACAAGGAAGAAACAAAACTTGTTTGTGAGTTTACATAGCCACCTGGGTTATGTATCTTTCTCTCAGTGGAATCAATTAGCCTGTTGTCTGCTCACTCTGGGGAGTTGATTGTGGAAATGGGGAGCCACTGATCTATGCTTGACATTTAAAGAAATACTAATACTTATCAGCCAACATAACTCTGATGGTAGGAGCTCTACATATATGGGATGCAAGGACCATTCTAAAAGCACTAGCCAATTGCCTGTCAAGAATGATCCGGGGGGGGGCAGGGATGGAGTGCCACCACCTAGCGCCCTATGCTGCCACTGTTCTGCCTCCTGCAGGGAGTGGGGTGGGGGAGCTGAGGCCAGCACTGCTCCCCCACTCTCTGTCCAATCCTCAGTGCAGTGTTGGAATCATGGCGGCGTTCCCCCACGCGTGGAACACTGATTGGCTGTTTCCATCAGCCAGTCAGAGTGTGGATAAAGCGTTACAGACAGACGGCCAGACTTAGGCTTTTATAATATTAGAACGTTTAAAATGCTGAGAGGTCTGCTGTTAGCATGGTTAAATGATGCAGTGGATAAAATACTAACTGCTGGTCTGCTACTGGCAGTGGTGGAATGACAATTCTGATGACTGGCAATAAGTAGCCAAAGCCCAATCTACTAAAAATATGCTATGAAACAGTGTGGCAAATAAAATATAGAGGGCAATTAAGCAATGCAAAATTTAAATCCCCAAATCCTTAAAGTATATAACAATGTTCTCACTAGCTTAATCATTGCAAGCAAAGTGAAATAATACTTCAGTAATTCAGAAAACTCTTGAATTGGTAAACTTTCTTGATTCTTCATTCTATATTCTTCTTTTCCTATTATTACCTCTTTAAAATGTGGTTTTGTTTAAAATTATCTTATTTCAAACCAGAGATGTTTCATTTCCCTGAGCAACACCTACACAGACGCTGGGTGTTTTTTTTTTCTCTCTGAGAAGAGAGATCCATTTAGAAGAGAGATTTATGTACTTCCTCAGATTATGGTGCTACTAAAAATCAAGGGGATTAGCTGAAGTGAAGATAAAAATGGCCTAGATTAGTGATGCTCAGCCTCTTGGCCCCGTGGGCTAGATGGAGCCCCATGCTCCAGATTCCATTGTTGGGGACCAGCAGCACCTCCCTCCCTGCTCTGTTCTGGGATTGGATCATGGTAGCCCAGCACGATTGCCTTCTGCCAGGATTGGGCCTGGGGGCCCAGCACTCCCCCCTTGCATTGGTATGGGATCCTGGGGGCCCAGCACTGCCCTTCCCTACCCCCACACACTGGGATTGTGCCCTGGGGCCCAGCACTGCTGCCCCCAGCTGGCCCCATGCCCAGCACACAAGGCCACCACATTTCTGGAATACACACTGCTCCCTACTTTTCATTGCCTGACATACAGTATCTTTGCTATCAAGTAAACATGAGGATGGATTTAACAATCTCACTTCTAAATTCTCCTCCCACAACTCTTGCATATACAGCTTCAATATATAGTAGAAAAGAGGAAGAACTAGAGCAAAATGCTTCCAGGATGGAGTTAGGGATTTCTGTTCATTTCACATTATTGTAGGAAAACTCCATGATGTAAGAAGTGTGGTATGGCATGGGCACAGTTCCTCTTCTTCTGGAGCCTCAGGCAGAGGCCTGAGAGAGAGCTGAATGTGCTTGAATGGTATACTTGTGCTGAAAAAAATTCAGACCATGTAAGTCACAAAAGACTTAGTCTGAACACTAAAGACTGGGGATGGAAATCTGATGGATTTGAGTTGTGAAAGAAATGTTTCTAATATTAGACCAAAATCCCCCTTGCATATCAGTTCATTCATTCTTACCTAGGCTCTGCATAGCATCTGGCATGTTTTCTCTGCTCATTTTTTTTTTTTTTTTTTTTTTTTTTTTTTTTACTTTGTATTTGGTTCTTTTGCTTGGAATCTAGGAACTAGTTTAGGGGTCGGCAAAATACAGCCCGCAGGCTGGATCCAGCTCACAGAGAAGCTTTGTCTGGTCAGGAGGTCCCTTGGACCCACCTGGCTGAAGCACCCCCTAGCTGTGGTATGTCCTGCCGCCTCCTGGGCATACAGCAGGGCTGGGGCGGCTCTGCGGTGGGACTGTGTTTCAAGGCAGCTCGGGCTGCAGCAGCAGCTCTGCTGCTGCCACTGGCCCCAGCCTTGTGGTACAGGCAGGGACCAGCACACAGCCCTGACCCCACGCCAACTCTAGGCTCTTCTATGCAGGTTGAGCAGCAGCAGCATGGAACAGAAACTGCTGCTCAGCGTGGGGGAAAAGTGACTCCTCCCCCTCATCAGTGCTTCTTGGTGCATCCACCTAGAGCCTGCGCAGGGCTGCTCTGCGTCTCTGCTGTGTCACCACCAACTCTGGGCTACCCCACGGGACAGTGCTGGCAGCGCAGAGCAGGTGCAGGGCAGCCCCACATGGCTCTGGGTAGCTACGCCAGGAAGCACCAGTGATGAGGAGGGGCAGGGGCCACTTTTGCCCTGCACTGAGCAGCAGTTTCTGTCCCATGCTGCCCTGCTGTGCCTGGGCCCCAGCAATGGCTCTGGGCTTGCTTCTCCAGGCTGAGCAGCAGCAGCAGTGGCAGAACTGGGCAGAAATTGTTGCTTGGTGTTGGGAAAGTGGTCTTTCCTCCTCACTGCCACCCAGCAGTTTTTTGGTATGGCTGCCCGGAGCCTGCACCACTGCCCCTGTACTGCTTTGCGGCTCCTCTACACTGTCACCACTGCTGTGCTGGGCAGCCCAGAGGTGGTGGTGACAGAGCTGCACTGTAGCCGGACACATTGCAGGCTCCAGGGGGCCGCACCAGAAACTGGGTGGGGGAGGAGGGTGGCACTTTTCCCATGCTGAGCAACAGTTTTTGCACGGCACCACTGTCCCCGCTCAGCCTGGAGGGGTGAGCCCAGAGCCAGCACGGGGTGTGCAGGGTCAGAGCTGCACGTGCTGGTCCCTGCTGCTACTGCCGGAAGGAGCTGCCCCAGCCCTGCTGCATGCCCACGGGTCGCAGGATGCGCCACGGCTGGGTGGTGCAGAGTGGGCATGGAGTGTGTTGGGGGCACTGTTGTCGGTACTGCAGGGTGCACAGGCTCTGGGCTGTTACGGGGTGGGGGCAGGTGCTGATTGGCTCGGGGAGGGTACATGTGGGGAGCCTCACATGCACACCCCACATCCCCTGCAAACCCTACAACCACACCCTTCCACACATGCCATACCCCACAAATAGCATACTCACACATACATCTGCCTTCCTTTCAAGGGGAGCCGTGTTCACTGCTACAAGCTCTTACCCCATCATACATGCACCCCCCCAGCCACCCTTCCCCTCCATATACCCCACAGCCCCCCACAAACCTCATACCCATCCTGCCACACATTTCCCCCCACACACACACACTCCTCCACACCCCACACAATATAGAAGAATAAGACTTCATTTTGAGTGCAATCACTTCTATATATACAGCACAAACAAATCGGGACAAAAATATATTTTGTTTAATTAAATTAAAATATATTATTATGGATGCTTGATTTTTAGTATATAATTTGTTTTTTTTCCCAGTTCTATGATGGCAAACCTTCTTCCCAAAAGGAGTACTTCTGGGGGCAAGGGGAGGGACTTCTGGTGGAAAAGGTCAGAGGTTAGGGGTGGGACTTCTGGTCCCAACATGGCAACTAGGGGGCAAGGCAGTTGCCAAGGGTGGGGCTACCCTTGCAGCCTTTGACACCTCACCAAAACTTAAGTGGCTCTCCAGCCCAACTAATTGCCTGTCCCCGAACTAGCTATTAAGAACTTACAGTAGCAAATTTGAAAAAGGAGAAAATGCTTCTCCCCCACCCCGCCAATACCTTTGGGGAAGGCAAGTACCATTTTAAGCACTTAGTCAAAAATATACATGTTGGGCATCCATATTTAGTGGTCTTGCTTGGAAAAAAGGCTACCCTAAATGAGCAGTAAGATCAGACTTAGGAGACTGGGTACTATCCATGCAGAACTTACAGCAATGAAAGTATCTTGACTGAGGTCTTCAGAAGCTGCAACAATACAAATGTGACCTGCTCAGGAGAGGCAAAGAAAAATCAAAACTCATTTTGAAATGTCTGGGACTCCAAGTGAATAAATTTGAAATTCACTTTTGCTGCTTTTTAGCCTCTGTTATGTTAAAAAGACATTTTTAATCCGCAGAACAGATATGATAAAGTTGAACTACAGCAGGTGTTTGTAAATTGCCCACTTGGAGAAAGTCATTCCTGTTTTGAAGGCGCCACCTTCAAGGTAGGGGAAGGTAACTTTATTTATTATTATACCCTTGACCTTTCTGTAGAGACTTCAGTCAAAGGATCCCACTGTTAAGGTTTTGTTTGAGATTCTGTCCATAGAAAATTGGGCTAGAATTAGTTTCATAAATTAGTCACTGGTTCTTAAATTCCTTGAATCCAAAGGCCCTTTGCAAATTCCCTGTCTTTGCTGTCAGCCATTTATTAATTGAAACTAATCTGACTGGTACTAGTGTGAGAGTTTGATTTGATTGAACTGTCTTTTGGAAGCTTCCAAAGAAAACTAAATGACACAAAGTAGCAAATATTGACTAATCTGGAAAATGTCCACAAAGCTGGTAGCACAAAGTAGTAAGCCCACTTGGTGCAGTGATGTGCATGTCAAAAAGCAAAAAAGGATAGAAGACAGATATTCTTTCAAAGAAAATAAGGATATAATGCTTATATTACTGTGAGGTAGATGCATACCTGGGTGAAGCAGGGTCTTCTCCTGGGAGTTCCGCGGTTTGATGTGCAAGGATTCCCAAACCTTTTGAAGAGACAAAGTTGCTCCTTAGAAAGTAAAGGAATCAATTACTGGATGTTTCCTCTCAACCTGAAGTGGCAGTGCCAATAGATGAGGAAATAATGGACCCTACTTAGTTGTTCTGGGAGATTCTGAGAATGGCAGCCACTAGCTCACATGAGGCAGAAAAAGAAGTGGCAAATCTTTTCTTTGGTGAAGTAGGAATAAGAGGGGTTAGGTTTTTTTTTATACCTCACCAATGACATTTGTCTCTGGGAGTGGACAAGAAATTTCCCTCCCCACTCTTCTCTGAAACAGAACGACAGCAAGAAAAATAGCCAGCCAAAAAGGCTAGGTTTGTCTAGAAGACGTCCTTTTTGATAATCTTCAAATGCAGGCTCAAATGATCAGGTCCTGCTGTCGAGATAGTACTTCCAGGCCTATGAGACTCTCTTCCTTTTTAGTGATACCAGCTGGCTCAGGGGAGAAGTTTTGCCTTGCTAGTGATGGAAGCTGAACTTTCTGCAGGTTGCCTTAGGGGCAGCTGACACAGCTGCCTGTCCTTTTGAACTGGAACAACCACTACATCACACCTCTTACCAGTTTTATTTCTTGTGTAGTGCTGATTACTTAGAGGACATACTTGGAAGACCATGCTTCACCCAGTTATGCATCTACCTTACAGTAATATAATCACTGTGTCCTTAGGTATTTTCTCTTAAATATCTGTCTTCTGTGATGAGTAGGGGACTTATTATTTGAGGGTACAGAGTAGTACAGCATTGTGAGATGATATTCTTTATATCCTGAAAGAACCAAGGATGATGCTCTGTTCTGTAGTCTTTTTCCGGCTGAAGCAGGAAGCTTTCCCTGTTTGAAGCACATGCTGATGGCTATTGGCTATGCTGGAGGCAAAGATAGTTTGGATTGACAAAGAGTTGGCTGCCTGTGGAGCTAGGAGACATTGGTAGCATTCTGGTGGGTTCATCTGTGGCCAGGCGGTGGGGACTCCCTCCCAAGGCATAGCTGGGAGAAGTGGTGGCAATGGCTGGTCCTAGCACTGACCTGTCTGAGACCTGAGCTGAGTCATTCTGGCCCACTGGAAAAACATTGCTGGAACACTGGAGAGGACGAGTACTTCATCATAGTTAGGAGGCACTTACAGAAAGGAATTTGAATGAGTGTAAATCATAGAAGAGGCTTGGTTGCTGATAATCACTGGTGGCAATCACCAATGTTACTGGCTGCAAAATGACTGCATGGACTTGGCTCCAGTTTCTGTGGGGAGAAAAGATTGCGTGTTTTGGAGAACTGCTTTTCAAAAGAAAGAGAAGCCTGTCTTCTAATAAATGCTGTGGCTAAAAGGAAAGGGTGAAATGTGGAAACAAAACTTGTCTATCATAAGTTTAAGCTTCTGAAAGCAGAATTCATCCAGGCACTAAGGGTAACAAAGAAAAGAGATTCTTTTATTTTCTGCGTACCAGTATGAAGGAGGTGGGTTATAAACTAGAGGAATTGGAAATGACTATTTATGAGTATAAATTTTGACCTAGGTGGTGGTGTGGACTGTTAAATAAGTTAAAACCATTAATTTTTAGGAAACAGCACTCTGGTAACGGGGAAGGCTAATAAGAAACAGTTGCTACTAAAGAGTGCTACTAAAATCTGAACTTCTGAAAAGCAGGTCCAGACAATTTGCATCAGAAAACTTTTTAAAAGGACAGGCCAGGAATTTGTCTGGATCCTTAATGTTTTCCAGTAGTTTTTAGAATGCTGGGGAAGTTATGGACTGGAAGAAAGCTAATGTGCCAATATTTTAAAAAAAAGGAAACAGAACCACCTGAGCAGCTCTTGGCTTGCAGGATCCTTGTCAGCGTAGTGAAACGCTAGATACGGGAGAATAAAGAATAATCTGAATTAAAGGCAATTGTGGATTTATAGAAAATGGATCTTACCAGACTAGCTTGATTATAATTCTTTATGAGTCTGGCTGATTAAAAAAAAAAAATAAATAAATAACACTGCTGTAATAAGAGTTCTGTAAGGCATTTGATTTACGAGTGTAGGAAAGTGGGGTGGAAGGGACTTCGTAAGATCACCCAGTCCAATTCTGTGTACCAGGCAGGATCACCCTTGACTAAACCATCCTAGCCAAGTGTCTGTCTAACCCAGGGATGCTCGGCACCAGCTTGCAGGCCAGATCCCCTCCTGCCAAATTTCTGGACCTATGGGAAGCCTTGCAGAATAAACAGTGTGGCTCTGCACAGGGTGGCACAGGGCCTGATTTGGGCACTGACCCCATGGGGGATCTCACCCATGGACTAGTTCTGTACCACTGATCTAGTCTGTGGGACTTAGGTTAGACCAGTGGTGCTCAACCTTTAAAATGATAGAATCGCTACTGTTGGTTTGCAAATGGCAAAGATTAAATGACAAAGGGAAAAAGATAAATATTAACAGATCATAGATACAGTTGGTCACAAGCAAAAAAAAATGCGTTTTGATATGGCCAGTTGTAAAATTGCACTTCAAAGAACAAAGAATTTAGAACGTATTTGTGGGAAGGGGGACCCTGTCCTTGGAAGCAAGGACATTGAAAGACCAGGATCATGGTGGCTGCACCTGAACTGGCGTGATACTCTAGGGCAGTCATACTCTCTCTATATGAACCAGTGCTGTGACTGTTATTGGAATGCTCTTTTTGGTTTGGATGTCTTCAATTCAAGCATGATATGGGTAAATTGGGGATTCAGAGAAGTGTCATAAGAATGATTAAATGATTGGAAAACATGAAGGACTTGAGCTTATTTTGTTTATCTTGTCGGAGGAGGTTTGGTTAATCAGTTTAAAAACTACCCAGGGAATAGAAATCTTGATAAGAGAGGAATCTTCAATTTAATAGACAGATCTATAACAAAAATCATTTGTACATGTCTGGAAGTGGAAGCTAGACAAATCTAGAGTAGAAATAAAGTTCAGATTTTTACATAAGGGTAATCGGCAGGGATCCAGGTTTTCCGTTTGCTGCAGAAAAACTCAGATTTTCCCCTTTAATGGAGAAAAACATGGGAAATGGTGGGTTTCCCCTTGCAGGCTGGGTAAGTTGCCCGACAACACGACGGACGGGGTGTCCAGGTCACGCGTTGATTGGGGGGGAGGGGCAAAAAGGGTGTAGGCCACATGGCAGGCAGGGGCACAGGTCACGTGTTGGGCAGGGAGGGACAGAGGTGACACGGGCTGGGGGGAAGGACACAAGCTATGAAGGGGGGCAGGGAGCACAGCCCATGTGTTAGCAGGTTAGGGGGACATGTGCTTCCCAAGATTCCTGTGCCCACAGTGGGGTGTGGAGCTACTGCTGAGCTGGACCAGCTCTGGACAGAAGCCACCTCTGACACCCAGCTCATGGGAACTGGCATGGGAGGGAGCTCTGCACCAGCATGGCCACTGAAGTGAGGTGCTCCTGCCTGCTTGGCAGCAGTGGGGGTACAACTCCATGCCACGGCCACACCTCACCATGGCAACACAGTGCTCCCTCCAGCACCAGTTCTGCCTGCTGGGCTGTGAAGGCAGCTCTTGCCCGGAGCTAGTTTGGCCTGGCAGCAGGCATGTGCCCCTCCCCACCCTCCCTACTGCATTGCCTGTGCTTCCCCCACCCATTTTGCATACACTCACTCCCTTCCTCACATACTGGGGGACTGAGGGTGTGGGGCTGTGGGTCGGGAGTGAGGGGCACTGGCAGGGCCAGGGGGCTGTGCGTTGGGAATGAGGGGCAAGGGCAGGGCACTGACTTATCAGGGCGATTCAGCCCCACAAAGCAGTCGGGGGCACAGCCACAGCTGGACCTACATCCTGGTGAGCTCTGATTTTTTCCATGATAAACCCAAAATCAAATGCCACAATGTATAGGTATTTAGAATGTATTTTATTATTGTGGTTGAAGCTTCCAAATTGCTTTAAAATTGTAAGTATAACAAAAAAACTGTGTGTTCAACTTGTGTGTGTGTAGTGGCATTCATTTTAATCACAGAAAAACATGGATTTGGGGGTTTTTAATCAGAGAATTCTGGTGGATTTTTTTTAATCGGAGAATTTGTGATTTTTAGAGAAAACTAGGGTCCCTGGTTTTTTGGCTATTTGGGGTAACACACCCTTGGTTATGATATACTCCTCACTGGAAATTTTTTAAAATAAGGATTGGCTCTTTCCCAAACAGGTGTTCTAGTTTATTATGTCTCATTGTAGGTTGTGTTCTCCCTGGTAGTACATCGCAAACTTCTACAAAGTTTGAGAGGAAGGCATGGGAAAGTAGAAGGGAGATGGTAGTACATGGAGGAAAGTTAGGAGGGGAGGGGAAGAGTCTACAGTACCTCCTGGGTTGTTGAAGTTATTACATGGTTGTAGTGACAGTGTTAATTTTATTGTGTGGGGCAGAGCTGTACTACTACCCAGCGCATCCACAGGTGGCGGATAGTTAAATGACCTTCATGGAAGGTTAGCTGTGGAATAGGCAGGGATAACTCTGACGAATAAGCAATGGCAGCACCACCAGGATGTGGTAAGGACAGCAGTTGGCAATGGTTTCTGTCCCAATGGTGCTTTGACATGGTGAGTACAGGTCGCTACTATAATAAGCCTGCCCAGCCTCCAGCCATGGGTCTGCAAGTCCTCAGCAGGAGTGCAGGCGGAAGAAGATGTTAGAATCTCAGTGGCTGTGAAGGTGGATGTGGGCTGCAGCAGAACAAGGTCCCCAGCTGTCTTGGTCTCATTAGATCCTTGGATCAAGGTGCCATTTTGTCAAGAGCCGTGTGGAAGCTGACGTGCGGCAGCTTCTCCACGATAAAAGAAGTCACACACAAGCATCTTCCATTAAAACAGCTTTTCCAGCACATTCCTTAAGCCCTTTGGTGACCAGCTAATGGCAATGGGAGCAGGCTTGTGAGGTCTGGAAACTCCTAGTTATGAACCATCATGAAGGTAGCATGAAGGTCATCTAGCACTGGGATGAGGTAGGAGTATGATTCGGCAGCTGTAACTGTGACTGAACAGCCCTCTTCAGGATCTGCTCTGTTCCAGCTTAAAAAAATTCAACGTTGATATCAACTTGTGGGAGGTTATGGCCCAGGACTGTCCCAAAGGGAAGAAGAGTTTGCTGCAGCGATCTTGGTACTTTGAAACTTTATGACAACAACAGGAGATGGAAAAGTGGGAGCAGCAGCAACAGTGTGTCGCAGACCAAATGGAGAATCTAGCACCACCCACCCCATGCCCCACACAGCTGCAGTAGAGTGTCTATTCCAGATAGGCCTCAGTAGCCATCTTTGGGACAAGCAAGCAAGACAGTCATGGAAGACATCCATCCTCGACTGGAAGTGATTGCTGAAGAAGAATTCATTTTATTACTAGTAGCCTGGAATCTTAGTGGTACCAGTAGTAATATAAACTTAAAAAGGTTTTTTAGAACCCCAAAAAGTGAGGATCACTGCTGTAGATCAAACACACATGTACTGAAGTTCAAGCAGGAATTAATACAGTGAAGTCGATATTATGCAGGAGGTCAGAATAGGTTATCACAGTAGTCCCTTTTGGCTTCAGAATCCGTGAATTGTTCCATAGTAATTAGAAGGCAGTAGCTGGTCATGACTGCCATGGATCATAGTCCGAACTGGTGAGCTAGAACACAGTGAAGTATGTCACTTGACACTGGTATTATATCTTGTTTCTGAGATAATGGCATTTCTTCTTCCAAAAAGCTTTTAGAAGAAAACTTGCAGCAAGTGTCATTTTTAGGAATATTGTGCATGTGCTTCTTGGTGCCAACTTCTGAGTTGCTCTCAGAATTGTTGGGCACTTGGTTAAGAAAGTTGCGTACATAAGAATCTGTATCAGCTTTGTGTGCATGCTGAAGTTTTACTGAACCTAAAAGTTGCATTTTTTTTCTGAAAGGAAAAAAAAAATTCTTTTGGAGTAGCTTACTAGGTAAGGCAATAGAACATGGTTATTTTTTTGTTCAGTTTTCTAAAAGAATGGGTTTAATATAGTCTCCCTTTTTATGAAAGAATCTGAAATAATTACATTTCATTGTCTAATTTGTATGTATTTATAATTTAATATTTCTGTTGCTGTGTGAGACTCAAATGGGAAAGAATGAACTGATTGTGTAAGGGAAACAGTGAAATTTTACTTTCTGTACTTGACAGAATTTGGAAGATTAGCCAGTCTGTGAAACACTTTATTTTCAGGACCAAGCTAATTTCTCAGTAATGCTTACTTGGTATTTCTTATATTCTATTATAAGCTCCCCCATGAATTCAGATAAGAATCTTTATATAAAACTTTGAAAGCTTGATGCAGGTGTAAGTGACTTGACTTAGTGCTGTTAGTTCATACCTTTTATAGGGATTGTTTTGGCACTTCATTCTGTTTTAGGAACAGGTAGGAATTTAAGTATCCTGTTTCAGTGATTATGATTTTTTCAGCTCTCTAATAAAATATATTTAATGTTTTGTCAGAATGATATTAATACAGAAAATGCCATCAGTTCCTCAGACCTTGAGAAACCTGATTCTCCTCCACCAAAACCTCCACGGACTCGCAGGTACTATTTTATTTATTTTTTTAAGTTTTAGCTGTAAAAGAAGGATTTGGGTTTCTAAAGTTACACAGCTTTTCTGGTGGTTAAATGAGCAGTCCTTACTGCTTTGACATACTGCAACTTGGACATTTTGTGTGACTAAATATATTTTGTGGAAGTGTTACAAGTATGAATTTGCCACTGTTGCTGTAGTAGCAATATGGAACTGCTGCTGCTGACATAGAGTCCTTGAGTGGGGCGGGAAGGAGGCTTGCCATTCTGTCACCCCTTCTCAGTGCCTGATACTGGCCCCCCTCCTTGGCCACCCCTGTTTAAACTACTCTTGGCTTCCTTTGTCTGGGGATAAACAGCTTCAAGCATTATGCTAAGAAGGTTCAGTGCTTTCTGTTTTGGCTACATGTACCTTGCATAATAATGAATCGCTTCTAGGCTTACCTAAGTGTGGAGTATGTATTCCATCTTAAGTCTCTATCTCTGGTGTCCACATATTAAGGATATCAGAATACAAGAGAAAAAGGATGGTAAGAAAATATTATCAGTATTGGAGACTAAGAGGGAATCCTGAGTGGGCTGTTCTGGAATTTTTCAAGTGAAGATTGATTTGTCTAAAACTCTTTTTTAGTCTTGGAAATCAAAACTTTTTTTTTTGAGTTGCACCAGTTTTGATAGTATTTGTATTGGGAAAGATTCCTTAGATCCAAAGTAAACGCTCTGGTGAAAACGAGAGAGCGCCTCCAACTCCTCCTAGAATATCTAATAATCATGAGGGAAAAGGCTGTTGCTAGATATAGGAAAACTATTCTCAAGGTCTGTTGTCTAAATTAGGACTTCTGAATCTGGATCTTTAATATCCCACATGGGTGCTGGAGTTCAGTGTTTTGGAGTTGATAGGTTGATTTTTCTTATACTTTTTTTTCAAAAGTCATGTTTTGTCTTAGTGCAAAATGAGATAATTAAATTTCAAAGATGGTTATCATTCAGCTTAATCTGTGCGGCCTTTTCTAGCCCTCTCTGTACCTTTGCACCTGTTCCACTGGGACTAACTTTATATCACTTCTAAACTTCATGATAAAAATAACTATTGTAATTGCATTAGTGCCCACAGTATGCTATATGCTTCTCACAAATAGACAAAAAGTGGGGATGGACATGTTAAATATGACCAGAGTTATCAATGGAGTAGTGACATGTTTAACCAAAAGCATTTCATTAAATTTTTCTATATAATCTTTTCCCATCTTTCCTCCACTATTTTATTTTTCTTTAATACCTGCTCTTAACATCAGTTCCAAGGTCCTTCCACAGTTCAGGTCCCTCAGTCCCTCCTTGTAGGGCCTGTCCTGCTGCCCTCTCACCAAGCGGGTGGCCGTCCTCTGAACCCTCTCCAGGCTGGCCACATCCCTTTTGAAGTGCGGTGCCCAGTACTGGACGCAGTACTCCAACTGTGGCCTGACCAAAGTTGCATAGAGGGGGAGTATCACTTCTCTGGATCGGCTTGAGATGCATCTTTGGATGCATGGCAAGGTATGGCTGGCCTTGCTGGCTGCGGTCTGACATTGGCGGCTCCTGTTCATCTTGGAGTCAATAATGACTCCCAAGATCCCATTCCGCCTCTGTGCTTTCAAGAGGGGAACTCCCCAGCCTGTATGTATGCTGTGGATTTCTTCTCCCAAAATGCAGCACCCTGCATTTGTCTACGTTGAATCCCATCTTATTCTTGTCTGTTCACGTTTGTAGCCTGTCTAAATCCATTTGCAGCCTCTCTCTCCCTTCAAGTGTGTCCACCTTGCCCCACACCTTAGTGTCATCAGCAAACTTGGACAGCATGCTTTCTACCCCCTTGTCCAAGTTGCTGATGAAGATGTTAAACAGTGCAGGCCTGAGGACCGAGCCCTGGGGTACCCCACTGCTCACATCTCGCCAGGTTGAGTACAACCCGTCCACCACTACTCTCTGGGTGCACCCCATCAGCCAATTTTTTTACCCATCTAACTGTGTAGGCATCAGTGCCACAGTCGCTTAACTTATTGATGAGGATGGGGTGAGAGACAGTGTCAAAGGCCTTCTTAAAGTCTAGAAAGACTACGTCCATGGCGACACCATCATCCAAGGATTTAGTTACTTGGTAATAAAAGGCAATCAGGTTGGACCAGCTAGATGTATGCCTGCTCTTTGCTATAGAGTTAAGTTACTCTGGAGTAAAACCTGGAGTAAATTATTTTCAAGGAGACGTCCTTTATGTTTGCAGCCGTAAGTAAAATATGCCTCGATGATCCTAGGAAGTAAATATTCCTTATGCTTTGACAATTCTTTGTCAAAACTTCACTTGCACTTCAAACTAGTGGGTCTCAAATTTTTAGACTCGAGATACCCTTCACTGGACTTGAGGAACTGCTGCCTAACTTCTTTGATTTAAGTGGCACCCAACTTAAACTAATTTATATATTGCAGTGTTTACCTCCTTGCAGAGGGACCAGGCAGTGGAGGTGGGCATTCAGCCAGGCAGGGACAGTCCTGAGCCTAGACTTACCTACTTGCACCTCGTGGTACCCTTCAAAGCATATAGATGCACCCTAGTTGAAAACTTGTTTCTCGTCCATAATTCCCAGAAATCTGTGGATTTTTTTTGGCCAAAGTTTGGGGAATTTTTTTATTATTATTATTATTTTTTACCTGTGGCATTCCAGCAGCAAGTTCTTTTTGTGATCCGTTGGTTCACAGCCCCATATGATCTCTCTCAAGGCATTTGTACACATGCATTTTTGTGCTGTGACTTCTGAACAGACTCAGTTAATCAAGTGTGCTCCACATGCAAGCTGACATGCTCTGCGCTGTGTCGCATGCAGTTGTATAAGTGGCAAAATGCATGTCAGGGCACAGAAAATAGCAGCGATGCGTTTTTGAACTAAAACACCTTTGATGTTTTCCACTGCCACTTTCTCAGCGCTGATGCACATGTTGCAATTCATATATATGTATGCTTCGCAGTGCCAGGTGCTTTTAAAAGCTCCCAACGCTGTAGTGCAACCATGTGTTCAAATGCCCTCACTTCCCACTTCTGATTGATCAGACGTTACTGATGTAATGAATTTCTCATTTTTTCCCCTCTGTTTATTGAAGGGATGTGTCTGGCTGTAATCTTAGGGCATCTTTACATGGTTTGGGTGGTGGTGGGGTGCGGTTTCATTAGAGCAGCTCTGAGAGATGCTCTATTTTAAAGTGCCTGTAGCATCTTGTGTATTCAGCACCGTTTTCAGCTTCAAAATGGCAGCGGGGGCACTTTTAGTAAGGCTTGTTCGAACTTTAGTTAAAGCGCCCTGCCACTATTTTGAAGTGCAGGGACACTGAATACACTTGAAGTGGAGGCTGCTGGAGCGTGCTAATTAGCATGCTCCAGCAGACTCAGTTAATCAAGTCTGCTCTGATGCATGCATGTCAGAGCAGATGTCCAGCTCATGTATAGGTGGCCTTAAGTTCTCAACTGGCTTGTTCTATTCGCTTTTTTCTGTTCTCAGCATCTGACTCTTCTAGATCTTGATTTTTGTCTCGTGTACCATGAATTCTCTTATTACTACTGATACCATTAATAATTTTGGAGAAAGTTGGAAATTTTTGAATAGGTCCACTTTATGCTAGCTTGTTTTTGACAGCTTGCATAAAGTAATTTGACTGCTTTTGAGTGCTTTTATAGTGCAGCTTGTCAAGAAATTTGAGAGCATTGTTGATTATATGAACTTGGTCTAAGAAAGTTCTGTTTGAGTTGGTGCATTGAAATGCTTTTCCCATATTTTAGCTTAATACCTATTGGTATTTAGTTTGATTCATTTATAATTATTTCTAATACACATTTTAAGTAAGGGCATGATTCTGCTAAGATTATTTTATGAAAGAGGAAGAGGCTTCCTGGATAAAAAGATATCCAGAAAAGGACAGTTAGATTGCTATTATATCCCCTTTTAAGTCTTCAAATACTTGAAAGGCTGCCATAAAAAATAGGGAAAGCACTTTTTCTCCTTGGCAGCCAACATCCTGCTTCTATGAAATGTGAAGGTGCTCAAGAGATCCTTGGTAGAGGCCATGCCCCCCACTACAAAGGAAGGCAACCCCCACCCAATAGTCTGTACCATTCTGACCATGGCATAAAATTCCTTCCCAGCCCCAAATATGGCAATTAGTCTGACCCTTGT